CTTCCCAGCCCACATCAAATAAAAGAGCCCCCTCACCTGCTTGCCGTTATGCAGGGAGTAGGCACGACTCTGATCCCTCGTGATTAAGTCAGGTACGGACCGGGATCACGTACCTGACTATGAGAGCAGCCGCTCCTTGCTGTCCTGTCATGGCTCCGTTCCTTTACCGTTCTCTGCAGTAAGGTCTGCAGACCTTACTAATCCATCCTTGCGAACGGGGCTCAGAACTGTCAGAGCTCCGGTGATCGATCGAAAGTAACGGAGCCAGGACAGGACAGCAAGGAGCGGCTGCTCTCATCCGTGCAGATCCGTGACCGCGTGCCTGACTGAATTTCCACTCGCCCTCTCTTTATTTCCACTCGCCAAATGCGAGCGGGCGAGTGGAAATTTTGAGCCCTGCCCTAATTCATTAATCTGCTGTATCCTGTTGTCTGCTGTAACCTGATGTACAGAATAAAGCAATGTTTGTGGATGGAAAAGGTATTGGTGAGTTCAGCTATCTGCAGGCCCGGCGCAAGTGCAAGGCAACACAACCGGCCGCCTGAGGGCACCTCAGGAGTGGGGCGCGAAAAATCATGTAACCGTTGGATGGACTGCACTCCCGTTAGTGTAAAACGAACCCCGCCGCCTGTTCTCTGCTGCGAGCGCTGACCATACCTGTCACACCCTGCATGAGTTCTCCGGGCCAGCGTCTGGAAAGAAGGAAGAGCATTTGAGAGGATTCCTGCCCCCTGCTGTGTGTTGTGTACGCTGATCTACCTGAGAGCCGTGCCATGTAGTAAGTCCTCCTGCTCAGCGTGTGGACTGTAGGAGGAGCGTTTGTGAGATGCCTGCTCCTGTTCTCTGATATGCACAGTACTCTGGAGCTGCAAGGTATGTATGTGCCCCCTGTTCTGTGTGTATGTGTGCTTCCTGTTCTGTGTGTATGTGTGCCTCCTGTTCTGTGTGCGTGCCCCCTGTGCTGTGTGTGTGTATGTGTGTAATCCTCCACAGACCCTCCACGACCCATGTGTGCATGTGCCCCCTGTTCTGTGTATGTGCCCACTGTTCTGTGTGTGTGCCCCCGTTATGTGTGTATGTGTGCCCCCTGTTCTGTGTGTGTGTGCCCCCTGTTCTGTGTATGTTCCCACTGTTGTGTGTGCCCCCTGTTCTGTGTGTGTGTGTGTGCCCCCTGTTCTGTGTATGTTCCCACTGTTGTGTGTGCCCCGTTCTGTGTATGTGTCCACTGTTCAGTGTGTGTGCCCACTGTTCTGTGTGTGTGTGCCCCCCTGTTCTGTATGTGTGTGTGCCCCCTGTTCTGTGTGTATGTGTGCCTCCTGTTCTGTGTGTATGTGTGCCCCCCTGTTCTGTGTATGTGCCCACTGTTCTGTGTGTGTGCCCCCGTTCTGTGTGTGTGTGCCCCCTGTTCTGTGTGTGTGTGTGCCCCCTGTTCTGTGTATGTTCCCACTGTTGTGTGTGCCCCCTGTTCTGTGTGTGTGTGTGTGCCCCCTGTTCTGTGTATGTTCCCACTGTTGTGTGTGCCCCGTTCTGTGTATGTGTCCACTGTTCAGTGTGTGTGCCCACTGTTCTGTGTGTTTGTGCCCCCCTGTTCTGTATGTGTGTGTGCCCCCTGTTCTGTGTGTATGTGTGCCTCCTGTTCTGTGTGTATGTGTGCCTCCTGTTCTGTGTATGTACCCCTTGTTCTGTGTATGTGCCCCCTGTTCTGTGTATGTGTGTGCGTGCCCCCTGTGCTGTGTGCGTGCCCCCTGTTCTATGTGTGTGTATGTGTGTAATCCTCCACAGACCTCCTGAGACCCTCCACGACCCATCTGGGACCCCGCACATCCCTCCTGAGACTCCGCACAGCAGGCCGGCACCCTGAATGAGCACAAAGTATGTAGCTTCATATTATTCTGCATTAATGTATAATGCATAAGCGGGATTTGTAGTCAGGAGGCACACACACACAGAACAGGATTTGTAGTTCCTCCCTCCTGTGGATGAGTGTCGTGGCTGTGTTGGAGCTATACACAGCTGCTCAACTTTCAAAAAAAAACCTTTGCAATCTGATCATGTTTCATGTTACATGTTATACCCTAAATATGGGTGTAACATGAAACATGGTCAGAAAGATGAATTTAGCCTTTAAAGTGTGATCACAAAATGCACCTTTGCCTGAGTAGGCAAAAGTCCTTGCACCAGCCCTGGCTATCTGACAAGGATTGTCCTCAGTGATTGTATCTGCTTATACAGGCCAGGCATAGAGGTCTCAGCAAGGGATAAGTCTCTATCACAACAATTGGAGTCAGAATAAGGTGCCTTCTATTGCGGCGGGCAACAAGCCCTCCTTCTGTGCAGACCACATATGACCTTGGCTCCGGGGAACGCTCTACTACTGTAGCCGGTGTTTTCCACTTCTTTTCATCATCCAGTTTGACTCTGACAGTCTGGCCCGGGTACAGCTCAGGCAGAGGACGAGCAGAGTGTCTCCTATCATAAAAGAATCTGTAGCTCCGCTTCGCTTCCTCAACCCCTCCTCCAAACATCTTCCGAGATAATAGGGGAGGCAGCCGGGAATGGTACAAATGTGGTACGAAACAACAACTGTGCAGGGCTACATCCTGTGGCTTGAATAGATGTCGCCCTATAAGCCATGAGTGCTAAATAACGCTCTGGTTGAGCGTGCTATCACATGGAATAGGCCCGCTCCATTGGGGCCTGTCAAAGGGGCGGGCCTATTCCATGCGATACCACGCTCAACCAGGAAGTACAGGCGATTCGTACGCTGCATCTGACCGGCCGGTCTTTACTATTTTAAATTGTAAGTTCTCTATGTTTTTTTAAATAAACGTTTATACCTACCACACCATAAGGAGTTTTCTTTTGTGATTTTATAAACTCTCGATTGGCGGGACATTGCCGGGAGAGATACCAAGAATGTCGACCCACTGATCAATTTGCACTGCTTAACTACCACAGCAGTGGGGTGAGTGTGCACCCCAGAGGGGGCATTCGTGGACACTTACATAGTGGTGTTGGAAGAGTGTTTTTGCAAACATTTGTTTGGATTTTCTTCATCAATTCACTTTGGATTTTATTCACTAATAGTGCACTTGGATTTATGTCAGATGGATCACCACCTGGGACTGGTCTAAATTTGATTGTGTTATTATTACAGCTGGCAAGCAGCTATATACCGTTATCACATATTATTTATGCACTTTTGAAATTGTTACTATTAAGGTTGGTAAAGGAGTAATTCACGTGGTGACACACGTGGAGGTCACACAAAGCTTATTGCATATTGTTTTGTATACACAGTTTTTTGCTTATTTGATTATTTCACTTTAATACCTTTGAATTATCTTTGAGATATCGATTACACTTGATTTTAAGTAAATTTTTTCACTTAAATCACCCTTAGCGCTGCACATTTAGTACCTTATTAGTTTGACCCTAGGGTCCATAGCGCAGCAGCTTCTAAACCGCATTTACCCACAAGCGCAGATTTTACATTTTCTATGTCTCTCTCTTAATCTGATCCAATTTCCCTGAAGAGATGGACTTGGATGTGAATATCGAATCCATGTATACCTTCACGTCTGATTCTGTCGATGACTCTTCAACAACAACCAGTGGGAGCTCTGAGGAAGGCGGCGTGTCCCCGAAAACACATTCAGCACTGGTAGCGTGACACTTTGAGGAAAGCAGAGCTCTTGCATTGCCCCTCAATCGCTCCAGTTTACATCCACAGCAGAAAAGTAATTAAGGATTATCAGTTAATTGATGTTTTTAATCATTGCTTCTTTTGTGAATATATTTTTGTATATCTATTTTTATAAAAAAAACGTTTATTTGCATCAGGAAAGGCGCCCAGTGTTGCCTTGTGTTTTATGCAGTGCTCGGGATCCCTTGTCTGAGACGGGGCAGCCCTTGCTGCATTTTAAAAAGCATGCGGGCTATAGAGGGGTTTCGTTTTGGCGCTGATTAGTGTATATCTTGGAACTAAATACATACATTACTCATCTTGTCAGGAGTGTGTAGAGATAGATTCCAAGTTATGAAGAAATAATTTCTTGTAATTGAGATATTTAAAAATGTGTTGCCAGTCACCTCATTTACAGCACACTGAAGGTAATAAGATAATTGTCAACAACTGGTTTAATTTCTCAATAACAAGAGACTAATGGTCCAATTTAAAAAGGATTAAATTAGTTTGCATGCTTTATATTGCTCTGTTTTTGCATGATAACTTGTTCCAGATGTTTCATGCACATTGGATTATTAGCTAAACATCTGTTATGATAAATATGGGTTTTATATAAGGTATTTTCGTTCACCATAGGGTGTTACTGCATATTTATTTATTCCATATGAAGATTAGGGATGGGCTTGATGTTGGAGTCGAACAACAGTTTGACTTAAACATCGCTAGTTCATGTGTTTGGCGAACACACAAATTGTCAGTTCGCCCGCCGAGCCCCTCACAAGGCACTGCGCACCGCACAGTGCCTTTTGAGAACCCTGATTGGATAATGTGTCACTGGCCTTCAGTGGTTTTTAACCTTAGCTGTTAGACACGTTTTTTGCATGCTGGCTGGTGAGTGTGCTGGGAAACTTTCTGCTGTTGTACTGTATAAAGCCCTTCCATGTGCACCATGCTTTAAAGCTGGTGATAAGTTGATGAGTGTGTTTGCCATTTGTTTTGCTTGACTGTGTCCCCCAATGTGCAGTGACACATTGGGGGTCTCAGCTGCCCTTGTGATGTGCGGGGTCCCTTGTGTGTCCCTGTGCCTTTAAGGGGGTTGGGCTGCCTCCTGGCAAACCTGCACCCAATTTTATCTTTTGCTTCATGTGCTCCAAGATGGAGACTCTCGTAGGTTAGAGTTAGGACCGCACTACATAGAGGAGCCTTGACGAGGCTGTGCGGCTTTCACATTTTCTGCAGAAGACGTGTATCTAAAACCTCTGTTTTTAACCTTAGCGGTTAGACAAGTTTTTTTGCATGCTGGCTGGTGAGTGTGCTGGGAAACTTTTTGCTGTTCTCTTATACAGGAGCCGCACTGCCTGTCCATCCTCTATTCTCTTGCGGGGAGGGGTGGGCAATGCCCAGTATAGTGATAGCTTTAATTCCATGCATCAATTGTATACACCAGCCAGCTAATCATGATCTGGCATACACCTCGTTACACTTAACTCTTTACCAACTCTAACCAACTGAGGATCTACAGCAGAATCATACATATATAAGGTACATTTCTGTTAATAGTTGGGGTACTTGAATGCATTTTTAGGATTTAACACCTGAGTTTACTGTCACTTTAACATAACAAAAGGTTCAGGCAGCAATTGCAATAGTATTAAGTCAGATGCCATACCCACTTTCTTCAAACAGCTTAACAACTTTTTTTTTAAAGTAATTTTTATTGAGTTTTCACAAGTATAAGTAGACAAACAATAGATTAGATCTGCTCAAATGTGAGAAATGTAAATAAATCAGTACTAGTACATTGTGGTACAAAGGATAGAACATAATAAAATAAACAAGACATACTGAACCAGAACAGCGTAAACAAAAGAAAAATAATTCCAGTGCATGGATGAACATAAAGATCTCAATGATGGGAATTTATCAAAATTGGAGCAGACAAAATCTGGAGTAGCTGTGCATGGCAACCAATCAGCATCTCTCTTTCATTTTCAAATCTTAACTGAACAAACTGAAGAGAGAAGCTTATTGGTAACCATGCACAGCTGCTCCAATTTCTTGTTATCATCAATTTGGCCTATAACAACATATGAGTAGTCACCACTCGGTAAGGCCTTGTTCACACCGAAAGTGTGTGCGTTCCAGAGCGGTAGCTGCTGGAACGAACCGCGATCGCTGAGAAACTTCCCCCCGCGTTTTAGGGCGGGAGGGGGCCCTGTTTCACAGCGTTCTAGGGCTTGCTCTATTTTTTTCCATTTGCAGTGGAACGGAGCGCTGGCAACGTTTTACCACGCGTCCGATCGCGCTGCGGGCGGAGGGGCGTGGAAGCGGTGCCATTGAATACAATGCACTGCCACGCCTCCTCCCGCCACAAAACGTGGGGTGAAGTTTCTCAGCTATCGCGGTGCGTTCATTCCAGCAGCTACCGCTCTGGAATGCACACTCTCTATTCCCAAATTCATATGGGCAAGCTCAGGTTTGGGGGATAACAACAACATCTTAATACATTGTATCCAGCAAATAATAATACCTGTTTACAAAAAGTAGCATTTTCCCACACAGACAGAGGTGAATTTATCAAAACTAGACAGAATATGAAGCAGCTTTGTACTTTGCCAATTATAAGGGTTTTAGTAGGCTTACATCTGTGCAGCTTCGAGTAAGGGAGGTTTAAGGCAGCATGTTTACTGGCTACATTCTTGGGTACACAAGCTTTTTTAACCAGTTAGGCTCGGTTCACACCTAAGTACAGGGCAAACCATCTGTTGTTAAATTAGTATATTAGCATTGTCACACAATTTCAAAGTGGACTTTGTATGTGGCTTCTCGCCAAAACACTCACATTTTACTTTGTATTAGGAATTAGTTGCAGCTGCGCACTGCCTGTGGAACATGGTGCAGTGTAGATTTTTGGAATCTTTAAGATGATGTGTGTAGGAGCTGGGTGCCACAGAATTTACATCAGTGGCCACCCAATGGAAGAAGAACAAAGACATCAGATGATGAAGAAACAGCAGAGAAGATGGCAGCGGTGAGGGAGAGCCCAGTAATATGCAATTTTTTTTGCTTATTTGTACAACATGACAAATGCTCCCACAGCCCCAACATTGTCTGGCTCCACTTTCAAAAGAGAATGCAGAAAAAAACAATAAATGTTGCCATATCTAAAGGAAGATGTGATACAATTGCTTATCTACCAGGCATAGAAATAGAAACACCTTGGTATAATAAACCTATATAACTCAGCCGCATATATACTTATTACAATCAGCACCATTCAATATATATACTTATTACAATCAGCACCATTCAATACAAATCCTCCCTAAAATATTTTGTCCCTTCTCCAATGCAGTGAGGTAAAATGCAACAAACAGCCACTGTCATGCGTACATAATGACATTTTCCAGGTCCTTGTTACACAATTGGAGTACACAGAGCTCATTGTGATGGCATCCAAAACGGCTGGAATACCATGTTCTTTTGGGAAAGGTAGCAAAAGGGGCATAGGTGACAGCCAGGAGGTATTATAGTAGCCAAAATCCAACCAACAAAATCTCGTTCTGGGGACATCATTCGTTGCTCAATAGTCCTGTGTATTATTTTCATCAGTATGCCTGCTAAATCCTATAGCTCACTTCTAGACAGACTGAAACACCAGGCATTCAGATAAAAATTATTGCAATCATTACATACTACGACTACTCCTATCAAAAAGAGGAGAAAATTGCTCAAATGAATTTCCATTCCACAAGTTAATAAGTAAACAAACCTGTGATATTTCTAAACAGGTAGGTCTGACCCATGTCCCTTTTAAATTACTTTTTTTATGTTATT